CCAATGTTTAGATGCAAGGAGCTTGCAGAAATACTTAGGGGGCCAGGGACAGTGGAGGCCTAAACTATGAGAGTATGCTTTCACCTCATCTTAGTAAAGTCAGGGTACAGTCATGAAAGGAGGGCCTTTGGATCAGTGAATTAAATAAGCATAAAGAATTAGGGACAGTTCTCATCTACCCTTTCACTGATGTTTTGCATAAACCTAGTTAAAGTCCTTTGGGGCTTTTGTATTCCACTGAGAGTAATGGAGAAGTGAATGGTAATTTCCCCTATAAAACTGAGATAAGGTAGGTGGGATCATCATGTCAAAGCATTCTAAAGTAAAATTTTTTCTTTTATTTTGAGAAAAAAATTTTAAATATAGAAAAGTACAAATAATAGTGTAATAGTCCAAGATTCTGTTACTCGATTTTCTCTTCATAGTTAACACTTGGCCATAATTGCCATATTTGCCATAATTGCTTTAATATTTTCTGTTAATAAACAAAACAGTACAGAAAAAGTTCCATTTTTTTATGCACAAACAATGAATCATGGAACACTACATCAAAAACTAATGATGTAATGTATGGTGATTAACAGAACAATAAAAAATTTAAAAAAAGAAAAAGTTCCCATTTTTAAATTATTTTTATTATTATTTTTTTAGAGATGGGGGGAAGGAGCAGAGGGAGAGAATCTTAAGCAGGCTCCACGCCCAGCGAGGAGCCCGACATGGGGCTTGATCCCACAACCCTGAGATCATGACCTGAGCTGAAATCAAGAGTCAGGCGCTTAACCCACTGAGCCACCCGGGTGCCCTGATAAAATTCCATTTCTTAGATCCCATCTCCAGTTTTACTGTCATAAATTTAGAGTAAATTTCATGTCTCTTTTTATATTTTTGGTGACATTTTTGTAATGATGAACAACATATGATACTGTTTTGTGTTTTTAAAACTTTACCTAAAGAGTAAACCATATAGATAGATAGATAGATAGATAATCTTCCTCAAAGCATTCTTTAAAATATGAAGTGCTATTTTTAGCCTTTTAATCTCCACATGTAGGTTGTTTAAATTATTATTAAGATACAGCTTTGGAGTAATGTTGGGGGCAGGATGGAAGAGTTCACAAGTTGAGAAATTCTGGTATGAGATTTGGAGAGTTACTGTGTGCAGACTCAGTCCTAGCAGAAGGCTCATGTAGCACTAATCTCCCAATTTTGTTAGTTCTATGGTCACAGATGACTTATAAATAAATCTGCTTATGTGATAATATATAGGAAAACTTATGCATTTATATTCAGTATGTACCTAGACATACATATATGTGTATGTATTATTAAATTTAGGCCATATGATTGCATTCAAGTATGTAAAACACATTTATAGTAGTGTGCATTAGTAAAGAATATTTTCTAGATATTTATCTTGGTTTATTTGGAGAAGATCCCAGTAGTTTTCATGAATCCAAAGGGGCATTACCTTCAATTGTGATGCAGTAAAAATTTGTTCTTTTTTCAAGGAAATGCTTGAGATATACTTATATCAGTGTTTTATAATTGTGTTTTTATCTATTTGTTTGCTCTTATTAGATTGTGAACTCCTTGAAGATAAGGAGAGCACATTGTATTTATATCTGTATTTTCAAAGTCACCTTCGGTCATTTAGTCACTGTTTTCTGTCAGAGTAGTCAATTTAGTTGACGTAAAATAGAAGAAAATCATAGTTATCAGATACTTGTGTCCTGAAGCTGTAAGGGATGCATAATATTTTGATCCAAAATTGACAAAATTTTAATAATCAGTTGGTACAACTAGATGAAAAATAAATGTGAAGTACTAATATTACTTAATTCTTCTATGAACTATGTAGGGACAGATTATACATACCTTTTGAAATAAACTCCAGAGTCAATAAATGAGCTACAAAGTAAATTCCATAGAAATGGGTCTAAAAAATAGGGTCAGGTTCTTTTTTTTTTTTTTTTTTTGAGAGAGAGAGAGAGTACAAGCAGGGGGAGCTACAGAGGGAGAGGGAGAAACAGACTCCCCACTGAGCAGGGAGCCCGATGCGGGGCTCGATCCCAGAACCCCAGGATCGTGACCTGAGCTGCAGGCAGACGCTTAACTGACTGAGCCACCCAGGTGCCCCAAATAGGGTCAGGTTCTAAAAGGGATTTGTCAGTATCATATTTAAGACCATATCTTGATAAAGTTTATGTTCCAAAATTACTTAGTTGATTGTAACTTGGAGTACATTTTTCTACAGGAAGAATGGCTTAAGTAATTTCCATATCATTCTTCTGATCTTGGTACAATTGAATATAATTTTTTTTACTGTATTTCATGGAAAGTTAATGATTTCTAGCATTTTTTTCAGAGATATTAAAATAATAATAGGCGTGAAAATATATGATGAAGTGTATAGTCCTTTAACCTTTGGTTTTTGCTAGTAAAATAATGTCCAGATAGCACATTTAATATTTGCTGTCATTATTATTTCTAGAAAGTGTTTTCTTCTCCTCTAACCTCATAAACTACAGCAGACGCTAGTAAGTAATATCTTTATCTTGGAAAGCTACTGAGCAGTTCCCAGAGGTAAAACCAGATTTACTTCTGAAATATTCATTTGATTAATCTTTTGAATTATAATGTTCATTAAAGTTCATCTGAAATACAATCTTTTAGAATCTTATTTCTGGTGTCAGTGAAGTTTTAAAATGTTTACTGCATTTAGCTCATTTTCTTCCTCTTTGCACTATCCAAGTAAATATTCTTGTTATATATTCGAGGGAGGACTTAAACGACAGGAATTGAAATGAGAGCAGTCGTAACTTTTTGAGAGAGAGAGTACAATTTCTCTCACAATTTATGCCAGATGCTTGTGCTATGTGCTTTACAAGTATTATGCTTACACTCTTAGGAGGCTAGAATTATTATCTCTGTTATAGATAAGAGGACACTGAAGCCAGATTAAAAGATTTGCCCTAGCCACCAAGTTAATAAGGTGCTCAGCTGGGATTTAGACCCAGATTTATCTTGTCTCCAGCACCCATGATGTTATTACACCGTGTTGTCCCAAGGAAATGAAGATTTTTACATTTTCAAACCATTATGTATTTTGAAAAATAAAGAATTTGGTTTGCAAGTATTACGGATGTTTGTTTGGGGGTATCTGAGAATAATATGATCCCTTCTGGGTGGAGTGATCAGAGCAGATAAACTGAAAGGGGAGCATAACGTACTCAAGTGTAATACTCAGTGAACATTTGCCTTTGAAGCTATCAGGAGCCCTACCAAAGTCAGACTTCCAGATTCTCTTCCCCATTCTGTTTTATGCTGAACTTCCTTGTTAAACAGAGAACGGATTCTAGGCTGACCTAGGAAGAAGGATTCGGGCAGAGCACATCTTAACCTGAGAGATCAGTAATACCATGGAAAAAGGGAACTAAGCCTCATTGACTCAGTAAAAAGGTCTTCAATAACTGTATGCCAGCACTGAGGGACAGAGACAAGCAAGACATAAATTGTAAAATAGGAATAAGCTCGGAGTTGGGTGGTAAGATAAACATGGGATATTGGGGGACCTGAAAGGAAGGCTACTTTACCCCTCGCCCACTGAATCATAAAATGGCTTCTCAGAGGAGATAACACTCGTTGGGAGTTTGAAGGATGAAGAGGAGTTAGCCAGATTAACAAGGGGAGCTGAGCACTGAAGGAAATGGAAACAGCATGCACAGATAAAACTGAAGAGCAGTCCTTTGCAATGAGTTCTGGGTGTCTTTCAAATGAGCTGCATTGTGGCTCATTACAGTTCGCATCAGTAACTTGTAGGAGTTCGAAGGCAAGACATTTAGTATTTCAGTAATTCAAACTTTAATAAACAATTTGCTACCTTGTGATATTTTGAAACATTACAGGTGCATAGGGAAAACCTATTGAAATTTCCCATATTTATAGACTACCAGAGCTGGCAGCATCCTCAGAGACTGTCCAGTGAGTTCATTTTTTTCACTCCACATTAGTATTTACTGTGTGCTAGTCACAGAGGACACAGAGGAAAAGGTGGACCTTGCCTCCAAGGAGCTCACAGGCTACGAGAGGAAATAAACAGACAATTATACAAGTATGATAAAGTGCTCTAATAAGAGTGGAGGGGACTGGTTAAGCACAAAGGGAGGCTCATTCATTTTTCTTGGAGATTAGCTAGATAAAGTTTTAATTAGCTCTTGAAGATTTCAGAGGACAGTTCATTTATGAAAGGAAGAAAGGATATTTCAGGTTACGACTGCTGGTTAAAAGGAACAATTTACAACATTTCTCCTTAAGCCCTTCAGTCTAAGTTTTTCAGCAAACAAAGATTATCTAAAATAATGAAGCAGTGTCATGGGTTTTCTTAGTTGTCTATTAATAATATAAAATAGCCTAACCAGTGGTTCTCAGTGTGTGGTCCTGGGACCAGCAATATCAACACCTCCTGGAAACTTAGAAATTTTTTTTTTTTTTTTTTTTTTGAAACTTAAAAATTCTTGACCCCTAACCCCGACCTACTGAATCAGGGAGTCTGGTGGTGGGGCCCAGCAGTTACCACTTTCCTAAGTCCTGCAGAAGATTCTGATACATGATCAAGTTTGAGAGCTAGTGGCCTAAGCTAACTGTAAGTTCATGGACTAGTTGAAAGTTCATGGACTTTGAGGACAGAGAGACCTAGGTTTGAATCTCACTGTTCTCACTTCATAGATGTGTGACTGTCAGTCTGTCACCTAATGTCTGTGAGCTTTGGGATTTTCATCTATAAAATGAAAATAATGCTTCCTTTCTGGGGCTGTTTTGAAGACTTGTTGATGTCATTTAAATAAAGCGTTTAACACTGTAGCTAGCACATTGTAGGCTTTAAATAAATGGGAACTACTACTGTCGTTAGTTTTTTTTTTTTTTTTTTTTTTTTTAGTTTTCCCAGTGAATTTATTACTTTCCCTTATTGAGTGAAAATATATTCATATTTTTGCTTTTAGATTCAAATGCTCCAGAAATTAACGACATCTATGGACTACAAGGTCAAGTGGAACACAAGCTAGCTTTCCTGAGAACTCATGTGCCAAAGGAAATAAAACTTGTGGTCATTGGCCATTCAGTAGGCTGCTATATTAGCCTTGAGATTTTGAAGCTTGCTCCTGAACTCCCAGTAAGTATGCCTCAGGAGGTGACTGTAGGTGCTAGATTATGCACTTGTGCAAATCCTTCTCAGCTTTCCTTCCCTCTTTTGTCTCTTGGTCTAATTGATAAATATAACAGAGGGGGTTATTTGGTAGCTGCCTTTATCTTTATCCATATTACTGTGGGCCTATGTGAGTGTATGTTCATGCAATTTCCATGTGTTTCAAAAAAATAATACTGAAGGAGGTAGAATTTTCCAGATGAATGCCATTTAATCTAGGGTTATCTGGAAATCTGAAGTTGCATATAACTTGCCATTTATGAAGGAATACTTAAGAGTAGTCCCCAGCCAAGACCTAGACAAGAATCTGTCTTTATTGAGAGAATATTTTGCAAATGTTCGTGCCTCCTTTCAAAAGGAAGAAAATTTATCATCATCATCATCATCAATAAGCAAACAGCTATCCTTATGGAACACTAAATCTTTATTTAGTCATAAGCCTGGATCCTTCTCCATTCTATAGATTGGCAGCCTTTTTGGGTTCATTCATTCACAAATGATTGGGTACCACTGGGTGTCAGATAGTAAGTGAGATGCTGGAGACACAAAGACCTATTTAAAGTGCCCAAGAAAGCTAGTGAGCTAGAAGAGACTTCAAAATAAAACAGAAACTCATACTCTCAATAACATGTACCATTGAAAGGACCTATTGAATGGATGCAATTCACAACATAAATTATTTCTTGATTCAACAAACACATATTAAACACTGGCCACGTGTCAGGCCCTGAGCTGTGTTTTGAGGACATCCCAGTGAATAAGACAGTCTTTGAGGTAAGAGAGTCCAAAGTCTAATGGAGGAGACACAGTAATCCATAGGTCTGATAACTACTGTGTAGGAGCGTGAGGGAATGCTATTTAACCTTGTAATCTGAATGCAAGAGAGGAAGTGATTCCTTCTTGGAATCTTGGTGTCCTAGGACTTTGACTTTTCTCATTCCATATGATAAAAATTTCGAGAGGAGTTTCAGAGGTCCCTGGAAATTTTCTTCTACTTCTACCAGCTTGACAAACGTAGGTCTCACTCATAATTGCCCTTAGGAAATGTACAACTATAGCCTCCGTGAGTGTGGTTTTTAATACCAAATGGAGGTTGGTAATTTTCATTTATTGGGTATAAGAAAATGTATTTTTCATTTCTAAGTGTGATTTCAATAAATTCAGGATTGCTTACCAGTGACTGTATTATTGTTTCTACTCTTTTTTTCCGTAGAAAAGCCATCTTAATTGGAAAGGAGACTTTTTGTTTTTAGCATTTTGCATGGCTTCTGATCTTTTTTGTGTCTTCTAAATCTCCTCTAGTACTGTGTGATGAGGTTACCTTCTTTACGGTGCCCAGCCCTGCCATTCTGTGGTTCTGTCTGCACAGTTGCCAAAAGCCGTGGCTCTAGAGCCAGGACACCTAGGTTCATGTACTTGCTGTGTATTTTGTCTGTGTGACCTGGGACAAGTTATTGAGTATCTCTGTACCTCCCTTTCCTCATCTGTGAAATGGGGATAATAATATGTTCTCCAAGAGAGAATTAAGAATGGTGCCTCGGCCTTAGACGTTTCCTAGTAGGTATTAGCTGTTATTATGATGATGGAAATGACAGTGGAATCTTCGGCTCAGTCACTAGGTTAAGTACCATATCAGTTATCTACAGCTGTGTAACAAATTGCCCCAAAATATAATGCCTTAAACCATACATATTTATTCTCTCACAGTTTCTATGTGTCTAGGATCTGGCCACAACGTAGCTGGGTCCTCTGCTTCAGGGTCTCTCATAAGACTGCACTCAAGATATCTTCCAGGACTGTAGTCTCATCTGAAGATTTGAATTGAGAAGGATGTGCTTCTAACCTCACTTACATGATTGTTAGCAGGACTCCGTTCTGTGAGGGTTGTTGGACTGAGGGCCTTGGTCCATCAGTGGCCTGTGGGTGGAGGCCACCCTCAGTTCCTTAATATGTGGGTCTTTCTAACTTGCCTCATTAGAGCGAGTGTGGTAGAAGAGCCAGAGAAAGTCTGCTGGCAAGATGGAAGTCACAGACTATCCCCTAGTTATGTAAGTCACATTCCATTACTTGTACAGTATTCCATTTGTTAGAAGCAAGTCCCTAGGTCCAGCCCCCACTCAAGAGGAGCAGATCACACTGGAGCCTGAACGTTAGAAAGTGAGGGTCATGTCAGAAGCTGCCTGCCTCCTCCCCCACTACTACAGTTAGTATTTCACTTGTGGTGTACAAGCAAGCATATGGGTACATGGATACATATAAATTAAAATGCCCAGTTTACTTCCCAGTGCAGGAGGGTGAGTTGGTCCTGTCTAATAAAACACAGCAAACTGATATGAAATACAATTTGGGGTTATTAGTTATCCCAGGTGTTTTGAAAACTTAAAAAAAAAAAAAAAACTTTTGAAGAAAAGAGTACTTGCATGTGTGAAATAATAATAGCATTACTATTTGTGATGGTTAATTTTATGTGTCAGCTGGACCAGGCTAAGGGACAGCTAGATAGCTGGTAAAACGTTTCTCAGTGTGTCTTTGAGAATGTTTCCAGAAGAGACTAGCATTTGAATCAGTAGACTCAGAAAAGATTTGTTCTCACCATTATGAGCAGGCATCCTCCAATCTATTGAGGTCCCAAATAAAACAAAACTCAGGAAAGGGGGGTTCTCTCTCTCTCTCTTCTTGAGCTGAGACATCCCTCTTTTCCTTCCTCTGACATTGGAGCTCCAGGTTTGCTGGCCTTCGACTCTAGGACTTATACCATCAGCTCCTCCGGTTCTGAGGCCTTCAAACTCAGACTGAGTCATACCCCTGGCTTTCCTGGTTCCCAGCTTGCAGATTGCATACTGTGGGACTTTTTGGCCTCCATAATCATGTGAGCCAATTCCTATAATAAATCTCTTTTCATATATATGCATACTTATGTATCCTATTGGTTCTTTTTCTCTGGGGAACCCTGACAAATACACTATTCTATGAACATAGGGGAGAAAATATTCATTGCTGAGTCCTTCACAGTCTATTAACTTAATCACGGATCTGTCTTTTTGGTTTTTGTTTGCTTCCCATTGATTCTGCATGTATTGTATAGTTTCTCTTGTGCATATTTGCGAACAGTTGTTAACACATTTGTTTTGAACCCATCTCTCCTTTTTGGCATGCACTCACATGTCTATTGGGAAAGAAGTACAATGCATCTTAAGGTTAATGCAGCTTCTAATAGCTCCTTTTGCTTTAGAGCTTTCTAATTATTGCTCTCCTTGCAGGAACCGTGGTGAAAAGGGGAAAGGGAAATGAGACATGAGCATAACGTAGTCTCTTTGTGGAGGCATAACTCATACTGCGATTATAGAGTTTTCAGAGAGACATATAAAACTGTGTTTTCTTAGAAAGGGTGTTTTCTAGAAAGTAATGTGTGCAATAAATTGTCCATAAAAGTCACCCAGGGAGGAGGGTGAACATCTGTATGATTTTTTTTTTTATTATTCAAAAGCGTTGTCTGGTTTCAATTAACTGCATTGTTGAAGTCCCCCCACCCCTCTTTAAACACCTGGCCCGGTTAATATCATTGTTGTGATCCCTGCTGAAGTGTTGAAATTTCAGTGTCTCTGGGCTACTCTAAGACAGCACAGTGCCTGCATGCCTGAAGTTAGCATGACACGCTCCATTTAAGATGCATTTGACAATCAAATAAGTTTGTGTAAGCCAGAGTGTTGCAATCCCTAATCATTTTGCCAAAAATAAGTTAGCTGTTATGTTTTATAACATATGAAGTGTGATAATAAGAAACTTGTGTTTCCATCTCTTCTGTTATTTTTACTGGAATATTTGACTCCCATAAGATTTTGAAGACATATGTGTAGTTTAGTAGCTGGTTTATTTGGTTTCATTTTGGTTCAGTTGTTTACAATATTTTTATAACTAATTGTAGGAAACTTTGGTCTTAAAATCATTTTAAGAGACTTAATGCATACTTTAGACATATTATCTGGCATATTTTAATATACTAAGAAATTGGCTCTTTTAAAAATCTGGTATTAAAATTTTTTTGTTTCTTTAAGCAAATTTGGTACATAGAATTATAGAAATTCTTCCTGTTTTGGAAGTAATGTCCAGTAATAAAGAATTTAACAAGAAGCCTGAGAAAATAGGTAATTGGAAGACTATTCAGTAGTAGCTGTCATGACTTGTAATAACAAACATAGTTTTAGACTCATAGAATCTTAGAACTGAAATAGGCTTTAGAAACAGTCTTGTCCCTTTTTTCATTTCATGGTTAGGAACTGAGAGCAAGGTCTGTTGCCAGCATGCAGCCTCAGCTCTGTCTCAATCCAGGGGTGGGGTACAGTTATATTAGTAGTGGGTATAAAGAGAGTCTGAGAAGATATTTGGTGGCTCTTTCAAACTTTGGATGATAGCAGAGCCTACAGATAGCATGGTATACTCCTGGACTACACACAGCAAGCTTCATGCGGTCCATTATATTGCAGCTCAAGGAGCAGGAAACCCCATAAAATGCTGCTTTAGCAATTGGGGCCTGGAGGGGGAGTAACTGGAACAAAAAAGTGATAGTCCTATCCCCACTATTTAGAGTCTTCTTTCAACACTGGTCCTCTGTATGTTAAAAATGTGCCATCTGATTTTGCTGGTAAATTGTTTGCATAAAGTTCAAGGTTCGGAGTTGAGAGACCTTGATTCTTAAGTGGACTCTGCACTGAGTTGTGAGGTGAACCTCAAGTAATTTTACTTTTATTCTCCTCTAAGCATTTGTATAGCATTTTATGAAAACACTTCGTTCCCTTGCATGGATAGCAGGTCCTTCAAAAACTTAATTTTTTATATCATTTGGCCTTTGTTGGGGAAAATGCACAATAATATAGAGCTTCCTTTGTCTGTCTTGTTAGCAAAAATATCTTCTCTCTAAATGAAATTTCCAGATTACTTAAACTCAACTTTTTTAAGCACCAGACTCT